CCCGGAGCAGCGCGGGCCAGACCTGGCGCTGCACGGTGCTGACTGGCACTGCATGGGGCTGTCTGGCACTGCACGGTGCTACCTGGCACTGCACGGTGCTGTCTGGCACTGCTTGGTCCAGACCAGCATTGCACGGTGCTGCCTGGCGCTGCACGGTGCTGCCTGGCACTGCATGGTGCTGTCTGGCACTGCTTGGTCCAGACCAGCATTGCACGGTGCTGCCTGGCGCTGCACGGTGCCACCTGGCACTGCATGGTGCCGCCTGGCACTGCACGGTGCTGCCTGGCGCTGCACAGTGCTGCGTGGTCCTGCATGGTGCTGCCTGGCACTGCTTGGTACAGACCAGCACTGCACGGTGCTACCTGGCACTGCATGGTGCTACCTGGCGCTGCATGGTGCTGCCTGGCAGTGCACGGTGCTGTCTGGCCCTGCACAGTGCCACCTGGCACTGCTTGGTACAGACCAACATTGCACGGTGCTACCTGGCCCTGCACGGTGCGGCGTGGCACTGCTTGGTACAGACCAGCACTGCACAGTGCTGCCTGGCACTGAACGGTGCTGCCTGGCACTGCACAGTCCAGACGAGCATTGCATGGGACTACCTGCCACTGCATGGGACTACCTAGCACTGCACAGTACAGAGCAGCATTGCACAGTACTGCCTGGCACTGCTCAGTCCACACCGGCACTGCACCACTGCATGGGACTACCTGGCACTGCCTGGTGGTACCTGGCACTGCCCAGTCCATACCAGCACTGCACGGTACTACCTGGCATTGCACGGTACTACCTGGCACTGCATGGTGCTACCTGGCACTGCACAATACAGCCATCCAGCCCAGCCCAGCATGGTCCAGCCTGGAGCAGCATGTTCCAGCCTGGGCACTGCAAGACACAGCCCAGTACTGCATGGTCCAGCTTGGCAATGCATTGTCCAGCACAACACTGCATGGTCCACCCCAACACTGCACAGTCTAGCCTGGTATGGTCCAGCCTGGCACTGCATGGTTTCTCCTGGGACAGTGTGGTCCAGCCTGGCATTGAACAGTTCAATCCAACCCAGCATGGTCCAGCCCGCTGCCCTGAGGGCATCAGCCAAATTACTCCCCTCTGTTCCCCTTCTTTTGCTTTGCATTTCTTCCCTGTTCTAGCTACTCCGGGCATGCAACAAGATGTTCCTTATTGTCCATGTTTTTGCATCAAAAGCCAACTGTTAATAGCACTCGTAGTCCAGCACCTGCAATGGGCTTTGGCTGCTCACTTGAACTGCCTTTGCCAAAGCCGTGTTTTGTCTATGCTTAAGGGAATACAAATCTGATGTGTAAATAAATGCCCTAGAGATTACATTGGTACTCCAGAGAAATGCCAAGTTGCATCTCCAAGCTCTCATTACCCTTTCTTCAGCAACATAGTTTGCAAGCAGCTTTTCCCTCTTGGCCACAGGGTGAAAGATCTGTTATGTAAGGACTTGTAATGAAGAAATATTAAGTTAATCACAAGACTAATTTTTATTTCATGCTGTGGTGCTTTGTCAAAGCCCCAGTTTCATAAAGAAGCCTTTGACACGCGGAAGGAGAACTCCGTGGTTTTTGCAAAGTGAAACAAATGCAATCCACTTTGGGAATGACTGCTTCTTTTAGCACTGCACACCTTAGGAGACTAAAATACACCTCGTTCATTTTCAAAGAGGCTGCTTTAACCTAGCAGGGCAAAGTCACCCTCACGACTTTAGATTTAATAGAAGGAGTGGTAAGATCTGCAAGAGAGAATAGTTCTTCTGCAGGACACAGCATGAGCTTCCTCCACTGCTAACTCCTATTCCCGTCCTAAAGGCAGAGGGAGAATTCTGTGGGGGTGGGACTGGTCATGCTGGAGCTAGGAAAAAAGGGGAAATAAGGAGAGGGACAAGTTTGCCTTGCTAGAGGAGAGAAAAAAATACGTTTTGTGCTAATCTCAGTTTGCAAAATTAGTGAGACATCTTCTGACCTATGCTGGAGACCCTCTAATCAAACAATTTTCTTTTCTTTTTTAATTGAACAACTTATGCACTTTCTCTTGATCTCATTCAGTGCATTTTTCCCCCCAGAAATCAGCCTGACTCTATCTGCACACAATAAGTGCGGGAAGACAACTAATTTACTTGTAGCTGCAGGACTGAATCAAGCAGGTGGAAAGGGGCAGAAGAAACACCTGGCAGGCCAGCCCTGCATGGACCACACGTCCCTACAAAACTCCAGAAATACACAGGCGAAAATCAGAACTTGACTTCATTCCCAGTGCACATTTTGTAACCTCTCAGTAGCAAGAGCAGGGAGCAGCTTTGCAAGCTGCTTGGAGTAAAATCTGATTTGTTACACTGAAAATGCCTGCTTGCATAATTTTAGGTCCCTTGTCATGCCCATGCCTCATTTTAAGACATAATCTGAAAGAGTTGCGCAAAGTCCCCACCTAAAAAAAAAAGAAAAAAATTAAAAAAAAAGGAAAATTAAAAAGAAAACTTTAATATGGTGGGGAAAAAAAAAGAAAGTTATGTGGAATATTACTGGTTTCCCAGATCTTGAACAACTTGTCCAAAAATCTGTTGTAAACCCAAAATAATCTGAAATATAAGGGACTTCATGAAGGCAGAAAGTGTGTCTAAACAATAAGCAATCTGCATTGCATTCACTGACACAGCACATTCTCAAGCATTTAAAAATATAATCTTTCTCTTGCAGACGGTCATGGTCAGAGCACGGAGTAGCTTTGGGGCACTCAATGTGAATGCACTTCAGCACCGCTCACCATAGCTTTTGGCTTTGGTTCCTCTGCAAAACAAGCAGTCCTATAGCCGAAAGTAAAGCCCCATACATAGAAGAGAGCCTGATTTGTAGTACTGGGTGGAAGGCAACAGGGAGAGCTAAAATGGGCTATTTCTAACTGGAGGGAACAGTCTGGAGGAACGGAGACAGGCGTTGCGCAAGGAGGCTGGTGCTTGCACCCCTGCACCATGTGCAAGGTTAATGCGCAGCGTGCTTAACCCATGGAGCAGAGGGGCAGCGTTGCCCTTCGCATGGGCATGGCTGCGAGCAAGGGAAGGCTCCATGGAGCTGGAAACACTGGGAAAAAGGTAAAAAAAAAAAAAAAATGTACAGAGGAACCAAGTGCAACTGTGGAAAGTTCTGGCTTGCTTTAGCCCTTTTTTGATACAAGGTTTAGCAGACAGAGGTGAGAGGTCTTCCTCAAAAAGACCTTGGCTCATGAACAAGCAGGAAACATGTTCTCTTTCTTCCTGCTCCCTGGGAAATGCAAATATATAAGAAACATTTGCTTATGGTCTATAAATTTTTAAATTTTATTTTTCTGCCACTGGAAGGAAAAAAAAAAAAAGGGAGGGGGACATGACATCCATTAAGGTCATGACAAATGGGGCCAAGTCTAGCTGGAGGCCTGTGGCCAGTGGTGTCCCCCAGGGGTCAGTACTGGACCCAGTGTTCTTCAACTTGTTCTTCAATGACTTGGACGAGGGCACAGAGGGCACCCTCAGCAAGTTTGCAGATGACACCAAACTGGGAGGGGTGGCCAACACTCCCGAGGGCTGTGCTGCTGTTCAGAGGGACCTAAACAGGATGGAGAATTGGGCAGAGAGGAACCTCATGAGGTTCAACAAGTGCAGGGTCCTGCACCTGGGGAGGAATAACCCCAGGCACCAGGACAGATTAGGGGTTGCCCTGCTGGACAGCAGCTCAGAGGAGGGGGATTTGGGAGTCCTGGTTGACAACAAGTTAACCGTTAACAAGTTAACAAGTTAACAACAAGTTAAGATTGTTGACAACAATGTGCCCTCATGGCCAAGAAGGCCAACGGGATCCTGGCTGCATCAGGAGAAGCATTGCCAGCAGGTCAGGGAAGGGGACGTGGAGCTTTTAGAGAGGGTCCAGCGTAGAGCCACAAAGATGAAGGGACTGGATCATCTATCATATGAGGACAGACTAAGCAAGCTGGGCCTGTTTAGTCTGGAGAAGAGAAGACTGAGAGGAGATCTGATCAATATGTACAAGTACCTAAGGGAAGAATGTAGGGAGGATGAGGCCAAACTCTTTTCAGTGGTGACCAGTGACAGGACAAGGGATAATGGGTACAAGCTGAAACACAGGCAGTTCCACCTCCATGTGAGGAAGAACTTCTTTCCTATGAGGGTGACAGAGCCCTGGAACAGGCTGCCCAGAGAGGCTGTGGAGTCTCCTTCTCCGGAGATCTTCCAAACCCGCCTGGATGCCACCCTGTGCCACGTGCTCTGGGTGTCCCTGCTGGAGCAGGGGGTTGGACTAGACGATCTCTGGAGGTCCCTGCCAGCCTCAACCATTTTGTGATTCTGTGATCCACAAACCCAGAAAGAACTTCCATATGATTTCTACATAAGGAACTAAAACCAAACTCCCAAAGAAATGTTTTTGAAACCCCCACTTTTTTTTCATGCATGGGTGTGTGAACACCAGCCCCTCCAAGCCTGTAGTGACCTCAGCATGGCAGAAAAATGGACAATGGCCAGAGGACCCTGGCCGTGCTGGTGGTGAGGAGCAACATGTCCTCCAGCCCCATGGGCGCCAAAGGGCCCCCCCAGACCCGACAGGCACATCCCACCCCTCCAACAGCTCCATTCCCTTCTCCACAGCCGATCCTCCTCCAGCGCACTCATCAGTCACGGCCCCGCCATGGCCGCTCTCCAGACACGGCTTTCAACACGCGTCCCCGGGGGAGCCAG